AGGGGGCAAATTAAATAAAATGTTCAGTCTTCAACTAATGCGCGACCACAGTTTATTTCACCGATGTGGTTACTTGTATAGGTAATTTTTACTTCAATGTGCTTACTTATATTTCTTGTAACATATGGCAGATCATGATTCATGCTGGCATTACACAATGATTTCTCTGGGTTATATTCCTGATTGTTTTCAAATTTGAGTGAAGTCTGTATCACTACAGGCCCGAGACTATACAGCGCAATGGACGCTTACGGCTAGCTCCTGAATCCATTCCCTTAATTTGAATTGTTCGTTTGTTTGTGATTTCTGCGTATTGTGTCTTGTCCCTGTATTTGTTTTTTGTGTAAATTATACGTGGTGCAGTCCCCTGCACTTAACTATTAGATGTAATCGCCAAAAGTGTCGGGTGTTTTTATATCAGGATAAAATTGGTGGATGTCTTTAGAAACTTGAAACTGCTTTTGCACATCAAAATAAAAAATAAATTATTAACCAGATACATGAGCTGTTTTTAGTAATATTATACGTGTCATGAGTAATTTTGTTATGCGCCACTAGTCTCGTCAACATTTGTAAAGAAGATCTGGTCCCGACAAAGAACGAAATTCTTTTTTGTACATATAATTATATTAAACATACATTATGCAAGAGCTAAATCTGCCTATTGCAGATCTTTCTTTATGCCTGAAATGTTATCTAAATTATGAATTTGGTTTTTTTAAGAAATGTGTTGAATGTGTACATTACGCATAGGTTTTGTTAGTTTCCAATGGATAGGATTTCATTAATAGCTTACCTTTGATAACCACTAACATTGTTGCACTAACTGGGCTAATGAAGAGAGGCACGCACCATGCACTGTATATAGAGGCAATTTTAATCTGAACAAATATCTTTTACGTGCATAGGCCTACAAATTCGTATCCCAGTTGACGAGTGTTTTCCGTCCATCCCAACGACCAGTTTAATATGCATATCCATAACATATATTTCCTTGTCTGTCACTTTGCAATACAGAACAGTAGGACGTTAAACCCCATTTCATTTTATTTCTTTTCAATACATTTGACACTATTTACAAAAGAAACAAAAAAAAAACCCACTCTAATTTATATGCTTATGCGTGGAAGATATGGCCATGCTGTGTTGGATAATGTCTGTTTGAGTGAAGCAAATACTAATCCCCTGTTGATATGAAATCCATTCCTCAATGCTGCACCATATGCATAGACCAAAGTACGACGTTGACATGCAAGACAAAGTGTACCAACACATTAATTAATTATTTCGTTAATGTAAAAACTTTTACTTTATTTTGCTATCTTGGAAATACACACTAAAGTTATATTATTTATTCTATAAAGCGCATTTGTTTACAAAGATGCGGGAAAGGGAATAATTACCACTTAGAAATATGAAATTCGTGAATGGATGAGTGAATAGTAAACTCTAGACAAAATTAGATGGATTTTTTTAAAAGACATCTGTATTTTAAATATTGCATGGACAAATAGTGTTGGTTATGTTGAATGATATCCTGAGAGAGTCGAGGCGAGCGTATAGACTCCCCGAGTTCAGTCGGTGCTTTGGCTGAATGGTTGTCTTAAAGTAGTGATATGTTCTTGTTTATGTTCCTGTTGTATTTATGTTCCTGTTTCATATTCTGTTCCCGATGTAATTACATTCTAAATTTATGAACCTGGTATCATGTCGATAGTATAACATTTGACAAAGTACAACAAAAGATGTTTTATTGAAGCTCCCGTGTTTAATTAATCTAAATCACATGCTCGGCTTTTACTGATGTGATCTGCATGTGTACTGTTTGAGATAATCACGCCGAGATGCAAATTATTTGCAAAGTTGAACATTGCAATGTCAGTAAATAATATGACTCTTATGACCCCAATGCCCACACTAGTAAATCCGTTTTCGGAAAAGAACGCTAAAAAATAGATAGGGCTCATCATCTCATAACCACAATGCTGCACACCAAATTTGAAAACAATTTGTTAAAAACTTACAGGCTTAATCACGTTAACAGGGTTTTCGGCAAAGGGAAGCTAACCCGTGAGCGAAAGGTCGCGAAACAATGCACATATTATTACTAGTCTGAATCCACCAAGAAACCAAAATAGTTACCTCCCTTACAAAATTGACGTCTGTAATTATTTTGCCAACTTTGCCAGGTAAGGGTGACTAGAGGTTACGACTAGGTTCTGAAGAAAATTGAATGAATTGAGATGCATCCAGTTATATGTAAAGGCAAGCACAGGTATATGTCCAAGTTTCTCTTTGTCTAATAGTAGGCTAGAGCCTAATACCCGTAGGCCCTAATATTAAATTTCAGTAGGCCTGGAATCAAACCTTTGGACTAAAGTAAAATTATAAATTATAAATAAAATCAAAGTGCTGTGTATGTATGTGTGATGGGTGAGAATATGCTTGTTTTCGCGCTCCAGTCCCACATGACGTGGTATCAAATTAACCAGCATGACCCTGTGAATGTTTTATGCCATTGAATTTAGGCTCCGGTCGAATTAGGCTTGGGGCGCATGATGAATCGCGCGCGGTCGCCGATCTGCATACATGACCCCGTGAATGTTTTGGGCCCCGGGCGAATTGAGACCGGGACGAATTTGGGTCCATGGAGAATTTGGGCATCGGGCAAATTTGCGCCTCTGGCTAAGCCGTTTGTCCAGCTAGTTTCTAATAATAAGCATCTCAGATTTTTTTTATCTGTCATCCGAACTAATGCACTACTCGAATATTTGCTTAATATTCGCCGAATATGAAAAAAATATTCGAATAGCATTGGAATAGCTGTTATTACGAGAAACCAGAACTTCATATGAATACATAGTATTCTTCAACTATCTATAATACCATAAAAGGGGCCCTGCGACTACTCGTTGAGTCGCTTCCCTGGAGGTCCCGTGTTCCATCCCAGTATTGGCATAGAAAGTTCATCGAGATTTTCCGGCGTGGTTTCAACATTTATCGCGTATGCCCGTCTTCATTAGTAGTAGTTAAACCCCATTCCATTCATTTAATTTCACATAATACCATAACCACATACAATTTCAGAGATCTTAAATATTCTTCTGGTTTTAGACTGTTTCTCCCGGTCCTACTATAAACACCGACAAGAACCGATAATAACGTTTTCTCGCCAATAGCAACCAAAGTATTGCAAAAAAGAAATGGGGTTTAACGTCCACTCGACACAAACCAGGTCATTTCGGGACTAACATATGATTCAATTTTATTTAAATAATTCGCTTTCGTCTAGGGGTATTTCTTTAGCAGTGGGAGGAAACCGGGGGTCCCGGAGAAAACCCACGAGGTTGGACAGGCCACCCTACTCCTTGTCACGTACAACCGGGAAATCGAAACGACGCCAGTTGACTAAATGACAGTTATCATTTGGTCTTTCTGAAATTTATATGCATCATTTAAAATAGCGAAACCACGAAGCCTATTGAATTTCAACAATTTACAATAATTACTTCTAGAGTTATGGCCCTTGTTTCAATTTGTTCAACCTTGTTAATGCTCGATTGATGAAAGTTATCATCCAATATGTATGAAATTAATATGCATCATTAAAATTTGTGAAACAGAGGTCTATTGAATTTCAGCAATTTCCGTCAATTATTTCTAGAGTTATGGCTTTTGTTTGAATGACAAAAGTGATCATCCAATCTGTATGAAATTTATGTGCATTTTTTAAATTAGTAAAACTAAAAAAGCCTGTCAAATTTAAACAATTTCTGTAAACTACTTCCAAAGTAGAGGCCCTTGTTTCAGTTTGCAAAACCTTGTGAACCCTCAAACGACAAAAATTATAATCTGATCTGCATGGAACTGTCTTGTAAAGGTCCCAATTACTACAAAGGAATACATATGTGACAACCCTAGTCGACCGCCGGACGATTTAGCTGCTATGGACGTATGTTTCGTTGTCTAGAAACCTATCTTTATAATAGGTGACCAGTGTATGTTAATAAGAGTCCAAATGCCTACACATGAACATAAACAGTTCATATGAGCGGCTTATGTGACGGCCCCATTTCACTCACAAAGCGATACACTGTCAAAAGTGAAAAACGGACGTTTTTGAGTTTTGTCTTAATAATGAGTAATTGCTCTACCAATCCTCAGACATTCAGCAATTCGACGTGGCATGCTCCTAATCAACAGTCCAATCACGATTTGGGGCAATATGCCCCACTACTCTTGCTGTGCCACGGCCAATTCTTGCAGTGTTGTCGGTTGACTTTGACGTCAACGAACAGTCTCCCGATCAAATTAAACGTAACACACGAAAGCAAAAATACGCTATACAGGCAAGAACCGATTGAAAAGCAAACATGGACAGGTTAAACCAGCATGTGGCAGTTTTCATCAACCCCTCCTTGAAGTGTCAAATTTGACAATGAACCCCTCCCACGTGTATGGCGCTATTGCGTGTCACATGTGCAGCTCAGTGATTCTGTTGGGGCGATAAGTTCTTCATCTGTGAGCATGCTCTCAAAGCATGTCAAGTGTCCATGACTATTTATCATATCACAACCTGCATAGGTATTTGAATTTCAATACCCCCTACTTTTTTTTGAAGAGTATATATATATATATATATATATATATATATATAAAGGGCAGACAGCTATCTTATGATTTAATGTATATCAGCGCGAAGTAAAATGGTGATTTTTTTTTACCAGGACATAGTTTTTATTTATTTATGTATTTATCTAGCGTAACATATTGAGTACTTGTACGCTATTTACTTTAATATCTGAAATATTGCATCATGTAATTTCAGGGAAGCTATATATCCCTACTGAAGAGTCGTTTATGTCATGTCCGGCTCTCACTTGTCAGCCGAGTTTGGAATAAACACTGAGGTTCCAGGTGGTTCACTCCCATTTCGACTACGTCCCATTTCGACTACAAAGTTTATTACCCTCAAAATCCTGACCCCCAAGTAATCAGCAATGAACTGTTCCACTGATAAAGAGATGTAATTAATCCAATGATTATTGTTAAATATTATAGTTTGTTTTCTTTAACATCAAAGCAAAATATCAACTCAAGAGTTTTGACAAATATTTGAGTTAAATGAAATGAAATGAAATGAAATGAAATAGGGTATAACGTCCTCCGTTTTGCTCGAACTGGGCTAATGAGGACGGGCATACGCCATACATTGTGATATGAGGGAAATTTTGCCCGGACAGCGGCACTACGGCCTACTCTTATATCGAATTCCAACTGTCATGGGATCTTTTACGTGCACGCCAATGTGTACACGGGACCTCGGTTTTTCGTCTCATCTGAATGACTAGACAGCTGTCCTTATCAGGCCCTCCATCCTGCATCACTGACAAGGGGGAACCACGCCGGAAAATCTGGAGGAACTTTCTCGGTCAATGCAGGGATCGAACACCCGACCTCCAGGCTAGCGAGCCAGCGTCTTACTCACTTAGCCACGGGAGTTTAATACTGTATATAAGATGAACTGTTTCATTGTTTCACTATCATTCAATCAAAATTTTTGTTATCTTATTAGAATTCCTTTATAACAAATATTGTGTTTATTTTCAAATTCGGGAATTTGGAAGTTGAAATTTTTGTTTTTTTATTGATTAACAAATTGTATATAAGAAATACTTAATTTTTCATTATTTTTTCTGTTTGTTGTGATGTATTCTGTTATACGCTGTAGTCTAAATGGGATGTTTTATGGAAGAATCTATTTTAACTATAGAGAGGGTATATATAAGTAGGGATAAAAAAACCACCAGACCATATAATCTGTTGTTATAAGCTGTAGTCGAAATGGGACGTAGGCGAAATGGGATGGTACGTCGTCCCAGGTACACATTCGTAGTGGACGCAAACGATCCGGGCAAGATTATACCCTCGCATTGCACGCGTAAACATAGAAATGAAATTAAATCCATTCCATGTCAGCCACAGCGCCACCCCCCGTCGTATTGTCAGGGTATTTAACGTTTAGAAGGTGGGCCCGGGGACTGCGTACCCAGATTCAACTCTGTTCAGCAATTCAAAAATATCAGCGCCCACCACCCCCCAAAACCTGCATACACCACTGAGTTACATTAAAATAAATGTCGCAATATTGCATTTAATTTAATGTATATGATTTATTACATTCAATTTTGTTTAGAATATTCATAATTAGTACGGTCAATATAATTGATTGTCTTGACGCTGTGTACATTAAGATAAATACTATTAATTACTTTCCTCTTTCCGCATCCGAAAAGGAAATTGATAACTTGGCCTTATTTCTCTATCAAGTCGATAGGGCGAATGAATTCCAACTGCTCTTTTGCGTGCACGGGATCGCAAGGTTAGCAAAGCCAACGTCTTACCACCAATTGGGATATAAAGGGCTACTGTTGATATTGGGACATTTGATTTGAAGCACTGGGGGCATGAGAGGACAAACCTTTGACCTTCGTTCTTCTGGAGTTATAATACATTAAACGCAATATTTTGTATATACCACTTATCTATGACGGGCGGATGCGGTCACAATGGGCCATTTATATGACTTACTAATTCCATTTATATGACTCACTAATTCCATTTATAAAGCTTTATAATTAATTACTTACTTAGGCACGTGTGGACGCTGAAACCCATCGAAATGGGTGACTGAATTGAATATTATTTTCATAGTTTGATAAATAATTATGAAACTACGTAATTATTTATCAAGTCTTATAAATCCATTTATATAACTTAGAAAATAATCGGCAATCTCCGTACTCCTTCGTTGAGTCGGCCAATTGGCCAATCAAATCCCTCGTTACATATAGCGGTGTTTTACCTTTCATGTTTTAGTTATCCTAGCGTCAATTTACTTTGCTAAGGTCACCGCTCCCCCTCCACCCACCGACCGGGGTAGTTCTTTTCACAATTTCTTGCGAGTTTGCCGAAATATCGTGTCGGATGTTGTGCGGCACGCGTGGGCCCAAGCCCTTGAAGACAACATACCCTCATCCTGACCATGGTCATCTTCTGCAGGAAGATTAGTGCGTCCGAATTCCATTAAAGGAAAAAATGTACGAATAAAATGATGTAGGCCCTATGAGACCGACGCACACAACTCGAAAACCGCGGAGGGGAGTGGGAGGGGCTTGCCATTCAGTAAGACGACCTGTGATTGGCTGGCCGAAGCATCCTCGGGAATTTCCGGGCAGATGTACGAACTTTCCCGAATATTTAGTTCGTTAGATAATTCATTTATAAGACTTAGAAAATAGATTTATATAGCTACCATATTATTTACAAGACTTTATAAATCATTTATCAAGCTATGAAAATAATATTCAATTCAGTCACACGCTTCGAGGGGTTTCAGCGTTCGCACGTGCCTAAGTAAGTAATTAATTATAAAGCTTTATAAATGGAATTAGTAAGTCATATAAATGGAATTAGTAAGTCATATAAATGGAATTAGTAAGTCATATAAATGGCCCATTGTGACCGCATCCGCCCGTCATACTTATCTCCAGAAAGTATTCAGTAGGCCGCCATTTTTCAATTGTGAAAATAAAACTATAGCCAGCTGCTGTTGATCCAAATGGACATTTGAGCTAATGAAAACGGGCATACGTCATGCAGTGTGTTATGGGGAAATTTTGCCTAGCTCGCGGCGCAACGCCCCAGTCGTAGTCGGTATTAAATTGGAATATTGTTTCTTGTGGCTCGCGCGCTCGAGAGGTTTATTTTCGTCCGCATTGCTTTTTAACACAAAAGATTTTTGAATGTTTCCGTCATTTTTAATTAACAATTATTTTAGAAATAATTTACATCGAAATGTCTTGTTTGTCGATATTTACCGGCTAAATATAAATTACCGGTCTGTTGCCGTGTTTAATACAGAGCAATATGACAAAAGAGTTCATTAGAAGAGAGCTGTAATTTATAAATCATAGTAAAGTACAAAAATATTATTAGTCCGTCAGCCAAACCCCATGTAGTCCACCATATGTTTTTTGATTGATTATATATTATATATGTAGATTAAGAATCCGAATGGTCCCATTTTGGCACTCTTGTTGAAATTCAAATATTCAAGATGGACACCATGGGGCATTTTCTCGTTATTTAGTGGGGTAAAATTGCTGAGAGATTATCTTGGACCCCGGTTTGGAGGTGCCAGGTTGGCCACATCTGAATCTACACATATTGAAGATATATAGTCCATCAACAAACATTCGGTGGCCTACATTTCCATGTCAAGGCTTAAAATGGGGAATGGCTGTTGGATTAATACTATTTTGTGTTTTACTGTGATTTATGATGGACTGGTTTTGTGATAAACAATTGTCAACGAATCCAACCTTTAAATAATCTATGATTACTCAATAAAGCATACGTTAAAGGAACTAAATCGCAAATATTTGGCAGCTAGAAATTGACACAAATGGGTAGCAACGCATATAATAATGTAATATGAATGTATATAAACTGATTACATTCAATCGCTTCCATTTTTACACTAATTTCAAATTAGTCATGTTCGGCGATATACACCAGAAGTCTCAATCGAATGGCAACCTCTAGCGTCTGGTTATTCCAGTCTACACCCATAATATTTATTTTGCATGCTGTCCAGATATGGCGTCGCCGTTTGACATGACTTGTGGAATATGTCCAGCCCCGTTCTTCGAGTCCTTGTTACAGATAGCGCTGAAACGAATTATGGTACACGATCGTGTACCAATTATAAAATGTTTATTTTGTCTTAAATACTGAATATCAGAAGCTCATCTTTTCCCGGTAAGATCACAACATCAATGTTGATTTAAATTAACAAATAAATCGTGTTTTTAATGTGAAGACATTGGATGGCCGAATGATTAGCGCGTGCGCGTTGTATCGTATGGTCTGTCATTGAGTCAACTGGCATGGTTTCGATTCCCCGTCTGTACGTTACAAGGAGTAGGTTCACCTGTCCAACGTCGTGGGTTTTCTCCGGGTCCTCCGGTTTACTCCCACTGCTAAAGACCCCTACGCGAAAGCGAAATATTGAAATAAAATTAAACCATATGTTAGTTCCGAAATGACCTAGTTTGTGTCGAGTGGACGTTAAATCCCATTTCTCTCTCTCTATCTTATTACTTTAAAATCTCTATGTACTGTCTACAATGCAAACAGTCCATTAGATAGATATTATAAATCATAGATCAAGATAAGGGCAAGACCTGGACTTCCTTATCACTTCTAGCGCACAGATTTGTAGACATAATTGAGTGAGTAATAGCTAGCTTTATATAACACCCATTTCCGAACTTCAGTGGTAGAAAGATGGATTGTTAAATTATGATATAGTCCTGTACGTATTTTGAAATGAAATGAAATGAAATGGGGTTTAACGTCCTACTGCTCTGCTCCTATACTGGGCTAATGAAGCCGGCATACGCCATACAGTGTGCTATGAGGGTAATTTTGCCCGGGCAGCGGCACTATCGCCTACTCTTATATCGAATTCAAACTGCCAGGGGATCTTTTACGTGCATTCCAATATATACACGGGGCCTCGGTTTTTTGTCTCATCCGAAGGACTAGACAGCTGTCCTTGTCAGGCCCTCCGTCCTGCATCACTGACAAGGGGAAACCACGCCGGAAAATTGGATGAACTTTCTCAGCCATTGCAGGGATCGAACCTATATACCTATATACCCATTTTAAACATTCTTAAATCAGTAGCTTTATTCCATTTGACAATCCGAAACCATCAATATTGAACATTTCGAAATATATACAGGCGTAAGCAGCAACATGACAAAACTAGACCCGTAAAAAAAACCGAATTGTCCCGGGGACGGAGGCAATAGTTAAATATCGATGATTCTGCGGTGTGTTCTGAGGATTTATAAATCTGCTACGTAATTTTGTAGCTGAAAATATAGCAGAGCATATTACAGATCGTGAGATATCAAATACTTCTAAATAACCAACTGCTACGCAGATCAGCTTTAT